AAAAAAAAAAAAAAAAAAAAAAAAAAAAAAAAAAAAAAAAGAGCATTCCACAGAGAACAAACATCACATAGATCTGCAACTGGGTGCATACCTGAGGTGCAGTGCAGTTTTTATGACCACTACATAAACAGGGATCCTCTTCCCTTTTTTTTTAAGATGGAGTTTCTAGGGTACTCAAACTGATTTATACATTTCAATACTTTTCAAATACTGCCTCAGGTCTCTGAGGACACCTAATTAAAGTGGTGAATTAAGAAGTAAGAGAGTCTGGGGTTATAGCTCTGTGGGGTAAGAGCTTACCTGGCAAGCCTGAGATCATGAGTTTGATTCCCAGTACTAAAAAAAAAAAAAAAAGAAAGAAGCAAAGAGAGAAAGATCCAAATATTAATTCAATGGAGGAATGTCTGCTATAACCATATCAAATATTAGGACAAGTGTATTAATAATGTAATTATATAGGCTTACAAATATTGGTTGGACATGTGGCGCATGCCTGTAATTCTAGAACTCTGGGAGGTTGACAGGGGAGGATTGTAAACTGAGACTAATCTGAACAATTTAATAAGATCCCATCTCAAAAATAATGAATAAAAGGCTTGGAGATATAGGTCAGTGTTTGAGTGTTTTCCTATCTGCCTGAACCCCTGGGTTCAATCCCCAAAACTGCCAGTAATCCAAACAAACAAATAAAAAACTAAAAGCCTGAAGTGAAGTTCTGCAAAATTACCATCATTTTGGTTTTCAGAAGAAAGACAATCTAAATATGATTTTTTCCCCTTTTTTTCAGATAGAGTCTCCCTGTGCAGTGTAGGCTGGCCTTAAACTCACTGTGTAGCCCAAGTTGGCCTTGATCTCATGGTGATCCTCTTGCCTCAGCCTCCTGAGTGCTGGAATTACAGGCATGTGCCACCACACTTGGCCTATATGTGATACTTCTAAAAAAAGGGTTTATATACAAGTGTAGTCACTGGAATTTTATAGCACTGGGATATCTATGAATGAATTTCCAAGTAAAAGTAAAATTGCTCATCCTATAGTTGTTGTGCTATAATGGCAAATGCATTACTGTTGTAATAAAGCACAAAATTAAATACATTAAGATTATGCAGTGATTCAGGTGACACATATTTCAACCTGCAGATCTTTTTTCTTTTGTTTTTTTTTGTTTTTCTCCAGTACCGGGAACCGAACTCACAACCTTGTGCTTGCTAGACAGGTGCTTTTGCCACTGAGCTAAATCCCCAGACCCCTCAACCTGCAGATCTTGATCCTTAGCTGAGGCTTGGCAGTGACCAGTTCTTTTCTGAACTTTTCATACTGCAGTCTCACCTGAGATGCAGGGATTTCAGTTATGGGGTCTACACTAGCAGCTACTTTTACTTTTTGTAGATGATATTAGAACAAGAAGAGAAGTCTGGTATCTGTCAGGATTTACCCAAGTAACACTGAACACTTTTGGATACAACATCAGTTACCTAGATTGTTATTTCCTCATTGAGCTTTTCCAATCGAGGATCCAAGTGGTACCACATTCAGTGACATTGCCTTATCCTTATGTCTTATCCAGCTTTGAAAGGTCACTGGACCAGAGATGGAAGTCCCTGAGGCAAGTGCAAGCTTTGCTCCTTTGGTCTACCCTGCCTTTCCTCCCTCGCTTTCTCTCTCTTTTTTTCTTTCTTCCTTCCTT